AAAAAAAAAAAACATAATGGTGTGGAGGGGATGGCTATAAGGGGAGAAAGGAGGCCATCCTTATTAAAAAAAAAAGTCGATCATCAGATATTGTCCAAGATTAACCTTCAGGGTGGATATAGCTCGCTAGCAGCCTCGCACCGAGGACCTATCCACGTCATCATTTACCCAGAATGCTTTGCGTGTAAATAAAATAGCTCCGTCCGTGTTAAAATATATTTTTAAAAATTTACAAAACTAAACAGCCTACAGTATTTTTACAGTCTTTATTTTACAGTTAAAATAATGTGTTTATCAAATAAAGTCTAATGGCACAACTAATCGGGGATCCCTTTTAAAGACATTATTTGAAGAACTTGGACAGACTCCGGCGTGGCGCTGAGACGTAAGTGGCCGACAAATTCGTCCTTTGGAGGACCCGGCCTCTGAAATAAGACACAGCCTGTGATTCATGACTGATCTACACCATCGTTACACATGAATATGGATCAGTTTAATCACGTGTAAAGCCTTTGATTCTGCAGTTAAACCGTCTCAAAAACACATTCAGCCCAGTTTCTATAGAATATCCTGGAATATAAAGAAAGAAAAAGATATAAGAGAAACTTTATCAATCACCTGAGGGAAATGAAGACTTTAAACTTATCTCCAACTATTAAATAAACTTTGAGGAAGGCGCCGCAGTAGATAATCCATTCAGCACAGCAGCTTTCTGGCTGCTTCCTGCTGCTCGCAGGTGATGTGGAGTTTGACTCTACAACCTGACAGTTCACTTCAAATTCATATAAAAACAACAAAGACTACACGCCCACAGTTAGCGCTAGTGAGCTCAAAGAAGCAGAGCAGCTCACGGCTGTCATCATCCATTCAGAACCGCCTTCATCAGCCCCGATACGGCGTGTCTGCTGAATATATAAACAACACGGAGCTCACACCCTCCTTTAAYGATGTGAGCAGGCACACTAGCGAGGTGGGGCCTTTTTGTTTGTCTTCACAATGACTGATATACTTGTGAATGTTGTGTAGAGATTCATTCAGCAAGACTCCCCTCTGCGTGCAGCAACAAGGCAAATAAAAGTGAATTTCAAATCACACACACTCAGAAACATTTGCTCTGCATGTGCGTTCACGATGCAGTGAGTTGGTTTAGTGTTGTAGTTTTTCTTTATATGCACAAAAATATATTTAGGAAAATTACAAAATATGARAAAATGGGTTTTTGAGAGATTAGAAAACCCAACATATATATGAAAAATAAAAGAAGACTTAAAAACACACAAAAAGAAACATTAAATAACTTTAAATGGCTTCTACTATTGCAGAGTAGGCTGTGAATAACATTTACATCATTCTCCAAAATGTCTTGAAGTCTTCACGGGGATTCTCCGTTTCCTTCTGAGTCCCACAATACGGTCTCTTAGGTTTTGAACCAGTTCAACAAAATCATGCCAGAAATCATCCCTCAAACATGGTACAGAGTCATTGTGGGAGTTTGAATTGTCTCACTATGGTCATGGATGTCTCCAACCTGTCTCAGTTTTGTTGTGTCTCAAACCAGTCTCAATTTTGTCACAAGAATCTCAAACCAATTTCTGTTTTGTCATAGGTGTCTCAAACTCATCTCAGTTTCATAATAAGCCCCTCCAACTTGTCTCAGTTTTGACATAGGTTTCTCTAACTAGTCTCAGTGTTATAATAGGTGTCTCAAACCCATCTCAGTTTCATCACAAGTGTCTCAAACCAGTCTTAGTTTTGTCAGTGATGTCTCAAACTTGTCTCACTTTTGTCACAAGCATCTCAAACCAGTCTCAGTTTTGTCATAGGTGTCTCCAACCCGTCTCAGTTTTGTCATAGGTGTCTCAAACCTGTCTGTTTTGTCATAGGTGTCTCAAACCTGTCTTAGTTTTGTCAGTGGTGTCTCAAACCGGTCTCAGTTTTGGCAATGGTGTCTTAAACCCATTTCAATTTTGTAACACACGTCTCAAACTAGTCTCAATTTTGTCACAAGCATCTCAAACCAGTCTGTTTTGTCATATGTGTCTCCAACCCGCCTCTCTTTTGTCAAAAGCCTCTCAAATTAGTCTTAGTTTTGTCATGGGTGTTTCCAACCCGTCTCAGTTTTGTCATAGGTGTCTCCAACCCATCTCAGTTTTGTCATGGTTGTCTTAAACCCATCTTAGTTTTGTCAGTGGTGTCTCAAACCCATCTCAATTTTGTCAGTGGTGTCTCAAACCCATCTCAATTTTGTAACAAGCTTCTCAAACCAGTCTCAGTTTGGTCAAAAGTGTCTCCAACCCGTCTCAGTTTTGTCATAGGTAACTCCAACCTGTCTCAGTTTTGTTATAGTTGTATTAAACCCATCTTAGTTTTGTCCGTGGTGTCTCAAACCCATCTCAATTTTGTCAATGGTGTCTCAAACCCATCTCAATTTTGTAACAAGCATCTCAAACCAGTCTCAGTTTGGTCAAAGGTGTCTCCAACCTGTCTCAGTTTTATCATGGGTGTTCCAAACTCATTTCATCTCATCTCAAACTTGTCTCTAAAAGTCTCAACTCAGTAAAATACTACCTTAACCCATTCAGCAGGCCTGACCTACTTATCTGACCTACATTCTTAAAATTGAAATGTTATCTTTGGTTTGTGACACTTCTTTAGTTTATTGCTGAACATCAGACAAGAATTGTGCTGATTTTTAGGAGAAAATTTCCTTTTAGCAAGAATCATCCCCCAATGTCCAAGATGAGGAATAAACATAAAAACATGTAACATGAGCTCTGTGTGAAGGTGACTGTGATCTTCAGTCTGCTTTAAATATTCCAACTTTACAACGTCTAAATGCAAGATCTGAGTTTTATCCACCGTTACCACAGAGAATCTAATGTTTTGTTTTGTTTACGTTACTAAACTTTATAACTTTATTGTAATTATTGATGATTTGATGCATTTCCAGACTCACTACATCATTTCTGAAAATAGTGACTGTGCTTTTATTCAGAATAAACTAATGACATTTTTTTTCTCATTTAGAACGTTAAATTTTCCACATCTGACTTCATTAAATGCAGCGTGCATAATGTAAACTGGCTGCATGTGGAGGGTTTATTTTTTGTAAAATCTCTTTTGTCCTCATGAATTCATCATGAATGTGGTCAGAAGGCTGCAGCATGAGTCATATGTCAGTGTTTTTATGTGTCATATCTCAGTTTACTGAGTGAGGCTTTGTTAAAAAAGTATTTTTTTTATCAGTTTTATGTCCAGTTTCATGTGAGAACTTTAAATCAGCACCAGAATCATTTCGTTGTTCAGTTCTCAGCTGGTTTTAAACTTTTCAGTCCTTCTGACGTTCCTGCTGATGGAGTTCATCTTAAACAACGAGGGCGTTGTTTTGGCCGGTGATAGTGAAGAAAGATCTGAGTCGAAAGACAAAGATCTGGATTTACTGGTCCGTTACCTGTGTTCATGAGGTTTGGAGACACCTGATCAGACATCAGCTTTGATGTGTATTTAAGAAGGTTTAGGATCATTTCATGGGTCGTCAGGAAGCGTAAAGACGTTCACAGTGGAGATAAAGCTCGTAAAACAAAGCTCTGCAGAGAGAAAACAAGTTGACAAAGCAGTGAGGAGTGGAGAAACGACGCTCTCTGCCCTCAAACCAGGAACCTGTCTGCAGACCTGACAGGCCTGGCACCCGACCCCTGTACTTACCACACATTAATATTCATCAGGCGTTCCTCCTGCGGGAGCGCCGAGGCTTCTCTCTGGGAAAAAAAATAAAATAA